CTCTATGTTGGAGAAATGGCAAATGTCAGAACACGGGTATTGAATATTTTGTCTTGCCTCGTTGAAGAATCGACAAATGGTGCGTCCAACAGATGAGTGTGATTTCACAACATAACGAAAATGTCTTCTTTGTTCAATTCAGACGAAACGCTCTTTGAAATGCTTTTCCGAAACGACTTTTTCAAAGTTGTTATCGAGAGGGCCAAAGGATCTTTGAGGTTGCGTGTATTCAATTGCCTCGCGACTGAATTGATTAACTCTGAAAGACAGGTGAGCCATTTTATCTTCTTCATTCTTTCTACATTCTATTTTCATTTTCTTAAGGACCACCTCATCCGTTCGTGCCCTTGGTCGCTGGTTATTGCTAGCGCTGTTAATATCACCCCAAAAGAATTCAGCAGTCCACCCTCGATTCGCTATGAGACATTTGCCCTAATTCATCAGCTTCTAGAATATGAAGAATTTACTGTTTTCGAGTCTCCCTTCTTGTCGAAGAACAGCAACTCAGGAATAGAAAGAACACTTGCAAATTATCTCAAAGATGTAAGTTCCATGTACATTTTGTTATTTTTCATTATTTTTGATCTTCTATTTGGGCTTTCAGAATAACGTCTTCTATTCCTTGTTGCCGTGTTGCAAAGATGTGTCGAATTCGAGCATCCTCATGCACCTTGGACAGAGTCGTAGTCTGCACCAATTGCCACGACGTTGTTCGTTCTGTCACAAAGAGAGATTAAACGAACAAATTGTCTTTTGGGTAAGAAATTGTTCTAAGACGTCGTCACGTTGATCATTTCAGGCCTATAATGAGTGCGCATTGAACACTGTAAGATATCCACCTGCCAGTCAGTCTCAACGTTTTCCTTTCAGGCTTTAAGTCTGAAACAACGATTTCTCGTAAGCGACGACGTCTCATTGATTCGATGGTTAGCGAGAGATATGGAATGGAGGAACAGGAAACATTGCAGCAACGCGAGCTCGTTGTCTGACGATGCGCCGATTTATGAACACGAGGATAGCCCCCAAAGTGACAGCATGCTATGTCATGAGACTGAGAAGTGGACACCCGGCGAAGCATCTCTATTCAATCTTCCTCTGAACATTTTGGAGCTCATTCATGCACATTTGACGAAAGAGCCCTGACGCACGAATACATGCACACCGAACGTCCGGGCCGGAGTGTCCATGTGGTCTGCTAGATTTTTTTGTTAACGAAAAATGAAGAACGGTGGACACATTCAATCAATCATGGCGCTTCTTCCAATGGCGTCGCTGGCTGACACAGAAGAGTTTTTCCAGGCAGACCTCCAGCAAAATCAGGTACTCTTTCTGTTTGGAAATGGTGGGGATCGAGAACGTAGCAAGACACCTCGACGCTATCAACAAATTAAACAACGAAACGCCAGCCAGCCACCTCGATACGATGCGGTCCGATGTCCTGAAACACCGGGCTGGTCACTCACAGCCGGAAAGTCCTTGACAAACTTGGCAGCCGGAAAGTCCTTTGACAAACTTAGCAAGCGGAAAGTCCTTGACTTGGCAAAGTCGTCGACGAACTTGACAGAATCAGACAGAAAGTCCTCGACGAACCTCGCAACCACATTACGGTCCTCCAGATCAAACCTTCCACTTGTTTCGACAATTCCAAGAAGACCGGAGGTGCCTGACTATCCACAAATGAAGCGTGACGCTTCGTCTCATCGAGATCTCGATGAAGGGAGGCGCATGGGAATCACTCGATACCAATCTCCTCAGAGACAGCGGAGAAGCGGTTCAGAACAGAATGAAGCAACTGGGACATCCAGGAGGTTCCAGACACAAATCTCTCAAACGTCGAGTGGGTCTTCTGGTTCTTCTGGATCTGCGGAAGTCTCCACTCCAATTGTATCGGGACGGAAATTCGGTGATCGTCACCAAAAATCCGGGCTATTGTCCCGAAGAACAATTTTAGAAACTAATATATGAACTCTATTTTTATTTGCTTGAATATTTGTTGTATACAACCTGAACGCCTGTAATATTGCGTACAAGTGTCTTTCAATAATTCGGGACAGTAAGGATGTGCTGGACCTTGCAAGCAGCAGTAGTCACATATAGATGGCGGCAGACGAAAGCGTCAAAGAGTGAGTACAGCAACTTCACTACATACTCAGAAGCCTCTTTTTCAGTCAATATTTCAATTTATTAAGGTACAGTGGGACCAAAGTACGAACCCATTATGATGCCGAAATGGCGGAGAAATTCCAGGAAGAGCTACAAGAAGACTATCAAAGGCAACTCGAAAAAGAAAGAAAACAAAGAATGAAAGAGGATTCGAAGTGAGTCCTACTTCACCCATGCTGTTGAATTGTGTGACAATGCTGCACATCTGTTGCTTATCCTGATTTTCATATCTGTTGCTTATCCTGATTTTCATATCTGTTGCTTATCCTGATCTATCTTCATGGCCTCTTTCTCTTCCCGTCTTCGTTTTTCTCGCGAGGCGGGTTTTTTCGAAAACGATTTGATGAAATTCTTCTAGAAAATTGAAAAAAATGGCAAGCCATCTCCGAAAATCAGAAAAACGCGAATCGTCGAGTCATAAGGGAAGAGGGAGAACTCCACGCCGTCGCTCTTCATCATCAGATGTTAGTTCCAGCGATTCGGATGAACATCAGAAGCGGAAGCGTAGCTCCCACAAAAAGAAACGTACGTTTCGAGTCCTTTCCGGTCGAGTCTTAAATAATTGGTTTCTCAGAACGCCGACCAAGTTCTTCGTCGGAGGAACGTGACGAACGGCACGATAGCAGGCACCACAGGAGCCGCTCGCGATTGAAGCGCGGGTCAGAACGGAAGGAACGACACCGCCATAGCCATCGACCTGAAAAGCATCGCTCCGACGGAAGACGTCATGACGGGGACGAAAGACGCAAGCACAGGGATGAAAGCGACGAAGAAGTTCCATTCTTCATGATGGATTCATCGATACGCGCGGCGATGGCCGAAAGAGAGCGCGAACAATCGCGTAAAAGGATGTAAACGAGTTTTTGGATGCCAGGTAGCCCAAAGAAAGGAATTACCCTTCCCACTATAGAGCGTTTTTGGAGGTGTCTGCCGAATATCTCCATTTATCACCTGTAGAATCCTATTCATGTCTATGAGCAAGCGGCATTTCCCAAGAACTTCACCGGGTGGCGTGTCTAGGTGCATATCAGTGGTCACAACAACTTGTTCGAACTTTGTTGTTGAAACTTCCTCTTGAATTAGTTTCTGTTGGTTTCCTGGTTTTGTGAGTTTCCCAATACAACAGAATGGCAGAAATATCGGACACCGCACATGGATGCTTTCAGCTTGAATACACATGAACTTGCCACCATTCACTTTAACACGCCTGAAATCTACACGTTCTGAGCTCGACCGGATGATCTTCAACTCTGTCCATTCCGCCGTGGTCATTTCTGCTCAACTACTAGTTGGCGGGCCGAAGTCATTGGAAAGTTGGAAGTGTGCTTGTCTAGCCCCACAAAACCTTGGGTGACGCTGATAGCAATGCATCAGCAGTTGCTTTAGTAGTAAGGCTGTCAGTCGGAAAATGTTTCCTCTGGTACAAAAGTTGATCTCAGCACCCTGTTGTGTATTCATGAAGAGTCTAAAGAAGGTTATCACTGAAGGAAGCAGCTGAACTTCTTAGCTGCTCACTCAACTTTATGCCGAGTTTGTCAAGCAGTTTTCTTGCTTCGACAACAAAAAGCGATAACACGAAAAACGATTGCGGCACAGCTTACGAAAGGAGACATGCACATTCACAAATGGGGCGATAATTAAAAGACCTGTTAGTTAGACCAGTCAGTTTCAAGTAGAAAAACTTTGATTGGAAGACAGATCGATGCGAATCTCATGCTCTTCAATGTCATGATGAGGCTCATCTCTGTCCCAGTCGTACTCAATAAGATCGTCTGTTTTGGAGCTTCGATAATGGTACACTGCAGCACCCAATCCGGCCAATGCGGCCCAAGCAGCCACTCCTCCAGCTGCAGCCCCGACAGCCTGATTTGGTTGCAGAGGATGCAGTGGCAATTGTTATAGTTGCTGGGGTTGTTGTAGTTGTAGTGGTTGTCGTCGTCGTTGTTGTCGTTGTTGTCGTCGTAGTTATTGTTGTCGTCGTAGTTATTGTTGTCGTTGTTGTTGTCGTTGTTGTTGTTGTCGTTGTTGTTGTGGTCGTTGTTGTTGTTGTCGTTGTTGTTGTCGTCTTTGTTGTAGTCGTTACTGCATCTTCATAAGCAGAACAAAAAATTGAATCGAACATCGGTATGAACTTTGGATCCATTTCATCGCGATCTTCCACAGTCCCCCTCTTCACATGAACATATTTGTCCTCCAGTGTTTTCCATGCGCTTTCGACCTCCTCGCTGGCGCTGTCCATGACGGCCACCGCCAAGCAGGTATTTCTTTGTGCGAGTACCTTCGCAACATCGTCCTTCGAAGCATCAGAGATAGTTCCTTCTTCCCTGCCTTCCAAGCGGGAAGACTCAGGCCCCCTTTCAAGATTGGAGATTTGTTGGTGGCTATCGCAACAAGCTTCACTTCAACTTTTCCGTCACCATTGATTTTGGTTGAATTCCATCCGAAATCGTCATCCAAAACCAAATCAAGTGCTGGGATCAAAGTTCCCTTTAAAAATGAGATCGTTCAAGTGACGACCAGTTGAGCTTTCAGCATTGGACGAGGTCTGAATCCTTTTCCGCCCCGGAATGGGTGTGATGTTCGGATGGCTTGGCCCTTTGTCTCTTCATAGCGGCGAATTTTTGCTGCCACACCTGGTGGATGCGCTAAAGTACAATGCATTGTCTCGTACGCCACATTCTCGTATGCACCTTTCACACGCATATTTGACATCTTGAGTGCATGACGGATTACACGAACAGCACGCGCCACCCTGCCATGGCACGACTGAGGTTCAAACCAAAACACGAAAATTTCAAAGAGCGGCACACGAAATACTTCAGTTAGCCCGAAGGCCATATGGATGTACCGAGAAAGGTAGGAGTGAAAACCAACCCGACACTTGGACTAAAGTTGAGCAAGCTCAAACTTTTGACCCTCCAGAAAAAAATAAGTGTGAGAGAATTACTTCCAATAGGAAGTATTTCGCTTCTCACAGCGAAAAGAACTTTTTCTACAAATGATCTTAGCGTTTAAGCCGAGAAGTATGAGATACAGTGGCACAGGAAGACCTCTCCGACGTCTGGCACGAAGACAGCAGCCTCCATGTAAAAAGTTTTCTGGGACCAGGACCTCCTGCGCTTATCGTCCTAATACGTGCTCAGCGCCTATACGGCTGCTTGAAGCTTTGAACTCCAATTTGCAACGAAATTATTACCTTCATAAAAAATCGTCTCTTGGAGCACTACGCCTCCGGCACATGCGACCCCGGAGTGACAGTCCCAGGACACCCTCTTCCTCCCTGAACATGAGTGAAAAACATGACACATGCCCAGCCAAGATACATGCATGCAATTGATTGTCGCTCTTTTGACGATCACACCACACTGCCAAGTCCAGCAACTGTTTGCTTTCCTGATCAGCGTTGTCTTTGATAACTATGCAAATTCTGCATCGTCATTGTTTCAAGTGGGTGAAAATCATGGAGATGCCATTCTTGAGAATTCTATGTCAATCTGATTTCGTGCGAACTTCTTAGTACCGCTTGCTTGGAAATACGAAAATGTATGAAGGGGGGAGCCAGCGTCGATCTGGTTTGATGGAAAGTAAGGGAAGAAAATGGAGTCTAATAAACACTACAGACTACAAAGCAGTGCCACGTTCAAGAGCAGCTTTGATCTCCATTGCTTGTGCACCGTAAGCCCTTTCCAGTTGTCTATTAAATGTGCGGTTGTACTCGTTAATGTGTCCAACATTCTCATCCTCAATGTACATCCTTCTGCGACTGAATGTTTTTCTGAAATCACGAGATCAACATGAGAGGTTGTCTTTGGCAGATATGATTGAGCCCACCTCTTCTGGCTTTGCTTTTCAACTTCTTGGGCCAGCCTTTCTTTGGCGTCCTCTGTTGGCCTAAACTCAGCAGACACCAAAGCTGAAGTTGGGTCGTAAAAATGCGCTCCTAGCTGAAGCATTTGCTGGCCATAAGCAGCATTATCCAATCGGAGATCTTGAGTTCTCTTTTTATGTGCTCGATAAAATGAATCAGTGTTAAATGCATCCCATCCAAATGCTTTTTTTGCGTTTGATTTCTTTTTCTTTAAACGGTCGTCCTTCCATTGAATATCCTCTGCTGTTTCCTACAAAGATCGGAACATCCCGTATTGAAAAAGTGTTGAATTTGTGCGCCTACGTTCAAATATGTACGGCCTGAATGGTCCTTCGTTTGTTCATTCTTCTTCTTCTTCCTTTGATTAGGAGAATCGCATTGTTCTTCTTGATCCTCCTCGTCCTCAACGACTTCAGAACTGAGTGCTGCTTTATCAAAATCAATGATGGATTGTTTCAACTTCCTTTTGTTCATAAAATATTTAACAGTGGGATCTCGTTGACGTTGCTCCTTCATTTCCTCTGCTACCTGAAATACAATTTCTGAATGAATGGATCTCTGACAAACTAGAATACTCCAAATAGCTACTTACTACTCACTTCTTTCGCATTCAAATTTCTGCTTTGATTTAATCGTTGTCTCAATTCATGGAGTTTTTTTTGACGACTATCCTGCAAATCCAAAACTTCTTGAGTGTTACTTTCTTCTACCCTCCGTCTTTTGGGCAGGTGCTCCTCGACATCTGACTCTTCTGAGCCTTCCTCCCTTTCCTCTAACATTTTAGGCGGTTGCTTGTTGGTCTGTTCTTTTATTACTGGAGCGAGAGCAGCTTGTTGGATTTTTAAGGCCCCAATTTGAGCATCCGTCACCTTCTTTTCATCAGGCTTAGAAGGTTCTAATGTTCCCATCAGAAGGGATATTGCGTCTCTCATTTGAACTTTTGGATCGTTTCGGCGGACAGCTGGAAGTTTCGGAAGTTCGCCACAATCAGTTATTTGAATCGCGACTCTCGGAACGTTCGAACCGTCAACCGGGCATTTCTCAATTGCCCTCAGAATTTCCATTCCTGCCAAATAAAATACAGTCATACGAAAGACGAGGCTCAACACGTTCCATCATACGAAAGGCATAACAATAACAACCCGGGGCCTACCCTGTACAACCTGTCCGAATGCAACGTGCTTCCCGTCCAATTGGGGAGCTCTCTTTAATGTGACGAAGAATTGAGATGAATTGGTATGAAAACCTTTGTTCGCCATTGAGAGAACGCCTGCTTGAGCGTGGCGCCTCAGAAAGTTTTCGTCCTTAAACGTCCCTCCATAAATACTCTCTCCTCCGTCTCCGTTGTTGCATTCAAAATCGCCAGATTGGACAACAAATCCTGGAACAACTTTGAAGAACTTGCATCCTTTGTATGAGAGTGGAAGGTGGGAGGATTTCGCGTTTCCATACTCTCCCGTACATAAACCACGGAAATTCTCAACCGCCAAAGGGGCTACATCATCGAACAACTCGAACACGATTCTTCCTCCCGTCTTGTTGCCGATGGCAACGTCCAAAAAAACACGAATGTTGGATGGCATTATAGTTGCCTGGACCGCATTGACGGATTACAGAACGGACCAGTCACGTCAAGTGATCAGTATTTTGGATCAAGATGACGACTGAGGAGAAGGAACCAATGTTTTCGGATGATGATGATGATGAGGAGGAGCCATCTGGAGATTTCGAAGAGGCGTCTGCGGCGGTGAGCCATGGTCATGCAAAATTGGTTCATCGTTTACAGGTTGATACTAAAGAGTCATGAAACCTCTGCAGGAAGATGACGAAGATGAGGACGAGGATGAGGAAGAGGAGACTAATAAGTCGAGGAAAAAACGAAAACAACCTCCCAAAGGAAAGAAAGGTAGGGTTTGTATTGTGGAAAAGTATGTTAAGGTCTTGGTTCAGCTAAACCTCCACAAAGCAAGCGGCAACGCCCTGCTGGCTTGGGGTTTATGGATGATGAGGCGGCTGTTGGAGAAGAAGATGAAGAGGAGGAAGAAGATGGGGATGACTTCTTCGACGGTAGGGATCCGATGTCGCTGAGACGACGTTGCTGATTTCTGCAGAGGCTGAAGAAGCGCACATGGCGGAACGAGAAATGGACATGTCGCATCGTCGGTTCGTGATAGGAAGGATTGTTGAAATGCGGGACCGCAATTTATGATTGATGATAGGACGACGTGATGCCGTGGTGTTTTTTCTTCAGGCGTCTTAATGCCGACGCGTTTGTGAGTCGTGGCGAAGCGATTGGAGGCGCGGGACATCTAGCGTCAACAATTGGAAATCTAGAGAAGAGATTCCAAGATCAGAGATATTTAGAAAATCTCGATGAAGACGAGGATGATGGTGGTGATTATGGAATGGGAACGTATCCGGAATATGAAGTGCAGCCAGACGATCCTAGTCGCTTCATGCCTGATGCGGCAGATTCGAAATTATGGGTCGTTAAAGTGAATAAGGTGAGAGTTGACAACATTAATGACACGGTCGACCTCTCCTTAGTTATCGTCTGCATTGTCATTTTGCTTTTCTTCTGAAGGGCATCAGCGAGCGTGAAGTTGTCATCAGCATCATGAATAAGTGTCTTGTTTTTGTTGATAAAGGGAATCCCTGGCCTTTGTTCAGCGCCTTTGCTGCTGATGGCGTCAAAGGCCACATTTACGTCGAGGCCGAAAGTCCTGGGAAGGTATGGGAACTCCAACTATTAATTCGCACCTGATCTTCTTGAGAGTCTCTGGTTCATTTGAGAGCCGTCAATGAAGTAGCAAACGAGTTGCTTTTTTTAGGTTCGCGAGGCCTTAGAGGGTCTTCGAACGATTTCCCTCAGAAGCATAAAAATGGTGCCAGTGAAGGAGATGTGTTCTGTGTTCCTCATGGGAGATAAGTGAGTCAATTGAATTGTGAAACGAGTGTTTTGAAGACTTGATGTTTGAAAAGCGACCACGTGACTCAAATCTTGCTTTGCTGGACAGAGAGGTTAAGGTTTTATCTCGTGGCGAGTGGGTGCGGCCGAGGGGCGGGCTCTATGGGGGAGATTTGGGACAAGTCGTGGAGCATGACCCTCAAACTAATTACATTACAGTCCGATTGAGGCCAAGGGTTGATTTTAATGAAGCGATAGAACGAGTAAGAATAGTCATACAACACTTGTACCATTTTGGATATTCCTCCTCCCGTTCACACATCGATGCCTCTATTCATGAGACTGTATCATTCACTCTCTGCCTTCGATGGCTGATTCCTCTATTCATGACTCACACGTTGATTCTCTTCAGCACAAGAATAACGATAGAAAGCGAGTCGTTCCCAACGCTCCCCTCGACAGCAAGAAGCGGCCTGTTGCACGCTTCTTTGATCGAGAAGAAATTGAAGCTAAGGGCATTGATTGTGTGCTTGGAGCGACGCGCGGAACACTGAAATTTGATGGAAAGTTATTCGAGGAGACCGGATATCTCTTGAAAAAGGTACGGAGCAGTGCACGTCATTCAAGGCTCATTTTCTCATTCGTATGCAGTTTCGCTATCATTTGCTGATGACAAAGGACGACGTTCGAGCCACCCCGCAAGAGGTGAATGAGTTTTCTGCTCGCCTCGTTGACCAGGACGACATCGGAGCTGAACTTCCCGCGCCGTCTGCCCGTCCGGAATCCTATTCGTCTGGAGACGTTGTGTCGATTCAAGGTGGAGATCTCGCAGGTTTGAAAGGCACTATTCATACCGTCGACGTTCGCAATGGAACCGTTGCCGTTCAACCGCTCGATCAGCGCTTGGCAACTCCAGTGTCCGTTCCGTTGAATGATGTGATTAAATATTTTGACGTTGGTTCGTCTGTACGCGCTTTCGTGGGCCCGTGCGAGGGGAAATGCAGGGCTTTTGACGTCGCTCGATCTCGTCAAGAAGACCGCGACAGTGTTCTCCCCGTCGCGCGGTTGTCCTTTCACTTGTGCGTTGGAGGATTTAAAGGCGTGTGGAAATTCTGGAATTGGCAGCGGAGGAATCAATAGTTTTGGGGGATTCTCTGTTGGGGATTTGGTGCAACTTTCAGGGCACGCTAGTGGAGTCATCACAAGAATTGATCCTGCCAAGACGTTTTCTGTATTGACAACAGAAGGGAAGACAGAAGATGTCGGGATTTCACGAATTGGTAGGAATCACGCGTTCATTTGAATGACCATTAGTCAAGAAGGAACACTATTAATTTTGTTGCGTCTGCATTTGTCCTTTATTTTTGTGTTTGTGTGGGTTTCAGCCACGAAGCGATCGAGTGACTTTGCAACGACTATCGATTCGAACAGAGTTCAATTCGGAACCAAGTCGACCGTCACGCTGCTTGGTGGACCTTTCAAAGGGCAGTCCGGACGCGTTCTCCATATCTGGAAGCAACACGTTTTTGTGAAAATTCCGTCAAAAGACGATCGCGGAGGACTTCAAGTTGTGAATGGACGCGATGTTCAAGTTAGCAGCGCGGAAGGCGCCTTTAACGCATTCACTGTTAACAACGACCCTCTTCCTGACGGACGTCCTCAACGGGGAGATTTCAGAGGAGGCGATCGAAGTTTCCGGGGACGTGGTGGTGGACGCGGTGGACTGCGAATTGCGGGACAGCGGTGTAAGATCATTCAGGGGATGGCTAAAGGTTCCTTTGCTGATGTGATTTCAATCGATGAAACGAAGGTTCGGTAAGCCGCCATGCGTGCTTGTGTCTGTCGTTGTGTGTCTGTCGTTGTGTGGCTGTCGTTGTGTGGCTGTCGTTGTGTGGCTGTCGTTGTGTGGCTGTCGTTGTGTGGCTGTCGTCGTGTCTGTCGTTGTGTGTGTACTGATATCTCGCTTATTGCTATGGTTCTGTTTTTTTCGCAGAATTCGATTGGTCCAAAATTCAAGTGAAATGAGTGTGCCACGCGACTGCATTTTCCTTCTTGGCGGTCCGTCTTCTTCCCGTGGCCGTGGGGGACGTGACCGTGGTGGGCGCCCGCCGGAACGACGCACGGACACAAGCGGCGGAGGCAGTTGGGATGACTTTTTCTCCAACGCAGCAAGTGGGAAGTGAGTCAACTCGAAAAGTCCCAAATCTCATAATTCTTCTGATCTCAGCGGAAATTCGAAACCGTCGCATGCCCGTGAATCAGCACCGAAAGAGTCGTGGAATACTCGGGGGAGTGGAGCCTCTGGCGGGTGGAACTCCTCGAATAGTACCGAAGGGTGGGGAGGGGGCAGCTGGGGGGGGAGGGAAGTAGCAACTGCTCCTATAAGAAGAACGCTGAACAGCCTTTTGGTCTTGAATCAAGATGTTTAGATCTTCTTTTCTGTTTGCTCTCAATGAAAACTTTTAATTACAATTATCATTCAAATGTCAAGGAAATCAACAAAATGATTACTACAACCATCAGTGCTAGAGAGTGAGTCGACGCGGAAGTTATGGGTCCGTGATCCAACTGCCACTGGGGAGCGCTTTTTGAGATCTTTGCGCTCCCAGAAGACCTGACTAAATCAATGATTGGTAGCGTGGGTGCTTTGGGCTGCTCTGGGACTTTTGGAACAATCATCCCTTGGTATGTGTTGTAAAGGTCTTTGACAGCATCCGCAGCTCCATGAAATCTCAAGTCTAAGGCCAACTGATACGGAACTACTCTGTCCTGCAATCAGCGAAGACTCGAGAGATTCGACTGAACAGTCCCTCACGTTGTTCTGCGCGAATGGGCCCTCCAGCAGATGAAGCACTTTCTCGTGGAGAACATCACCGAGCATCAGCACCATCGTGGGGTTTCCTGTTCGCACTGCCAGATGCATCAGCGAATCGCCTCTCTATAGACAACAACAGGGTATGTTGAAGCCTCAATATTAATACACAGCTGGTCGTAAGCCATTCACCTACTGAATCACGTGGCCATAAATAGTGAGCATCGTTGTAAATTGCTTTAGATCGCAACGAGCGTGTGGTTTTGACGAGTCCTAATCTAAACACTCGTTGCAATACGGTGTCTCGGTGCGCCTGCATATTCAGAGCGATCCAGTACTCAAAGAGGTTGAGGGCTCACTTCTCCGACTGTGCAGCCATAGAACAATCCCGTCCAAAGCTCATGAGTAAGCTCACCCTCTTGGAGTGGATGAACCTGATCCAGCGCGGCCGATGCAGTTTTGTCAGCATCGGAGTCTGGAGAGTCTGGCATTGCAAGAACAAATTGCCAAAAATTGGCCACTGATAAAGGAACCGAAGAGAGCTCTTGGGACAATGACTGAAGCATCACTTCACCTTCGAGAGAGCCAAAGGGTAAGCTGTGAACTTATAGGAAACATACAACTAACGACATTATCAAGACGTTGTACCGTCATTTGGACAGCTCCATGAGAAGTCGAAGCGATCGACCAGATCAATAGCAACGTTAGCGGAATGCGCATGTGAGGATTCATTCACTCCCGCTCTTCCCTTCTATTCATTCACTCCCGATCTCCCCTTCTTTTTTATTGGGACTTTCATGTCTCTGTCCACAAATTAATCTCATCAAGTGAAACATCACTGAAGCAGTTTAGCGGAGAGAGAG